CCCTTATCTTCCCCCTTTTGACATTAACAAAAAGATTGTTAACAACAAAAATCATAAAGATTTTTATTAATTAATTAAGGGAAAAGGCGGAGTACATAGCGAAAGCATTAAAAATTATAAAATAAGGAAGAGAAGAAAGTAGAGCTAGAGCTCTAGAAATCCGGGGAAAGATCATTGAGAAGTTGTTCTTCGTCAATGTCTTCTTCTTCTTCTTCTTCATCGCCATCATCATCATCGTCGTCGTCATTATCATCATCATCATCATCATCATCACCATCGTCCACCTCGTCTTCTCTTCCAACATTTTGAGTCCCACTTTGTTCACCTCCGAAATTCGGTGGAGGAACGTAAGGGAGCATTTGAGCGTACGGTTAATTGACAAAGTCAAAATACCCGTGAAGTTCACGGCTCAAGGTAATGACGTTGTGCGCCGTTTTGGAGACGTTGGTGTCAATCCGAGAGAGAGTGGCGGTTAAGGCTGCCATTTGCTCGGCGAGAGAAGGATTGGTCGATGTGGTGGCGGCTGAGGCAGTGGCTCTCGGTTGGTGGCGTGGACGAGGCTGTCGAAAGGGAGTCTCGTCGGTGCCCGATTGGAAAGAAGACTCATCAATCTCCCAGTGCTTTGTCCCCTTTACCTTTGGCCCAACATCGGTTTTGATGTTGTATTCTTCAAGAATTGCCATGACAAGGAGGGCATAGGGGAGCGGCCGATTGTCGGAGGTGGCCGTGAACATGTGAGTCATCACAAATTTACACCAATTGAGATTGGCGTTGTGAATCATCGCATGGATCGTCTTCGTGTCTTCTTGGGAGAGATTGGTNCGATTATCCAAAGATTCCCTGTCCAAAAATTTAAAATTCTATCCGTTGGAGGACAACGGTAACCCAGATAATCGATTGTCAACAAGTGATAATCGATTATTGGTCCTCTCTGAAGATTCTGGGTTTTGGCTGCAAGGCTGATAATCGATTATTGCAAATCTGATAATCGATTATTTAGTGCTTCAGAACTTGGAAGTTCAAAGCTGCAGTGGCTGATAGTCGATTGTCACCCAGCTAAAGTCTAGCCAGCTGAAACCCGTTTTGAAAAACCGAGGTCCAAAAACGAAGCGTTCCCAAAAGTAAAAACCAAGTTTGAAAAACATTGTATATGGTATAAAATAGTGAAAACAAGACTTGTTTGGTAAAAACCAAGTCCTCAAGGTCGTAAATCACGTGCGTACTGTTTTGACCGTTTTTCACGTGTTAGACCGATTGACCAAGATACAAAGATGGTTTTTACAAAATAATTATTCAGGAACCTTTAAAATATGCTCAGAGATAAAAACAGGGTTTAAAATATTGAAAACCACGGAGTTGGTTCGGGCGCCAAAAAACCGAACGCCGAAAACCGAACGACGAAAGCCGAATGCCGACTTAGGTGGTTTTGGTTCTGAGCAAGGACCAGGGATTTTAATAATAAAAGAAGTCATCAAAAAATGTCTGTTTTGATGCACAAAAAATGTTTT